ACTTCCAGTCATCTCCAGATTGCTTGTAAAACCTAGTTTGGGACATATTGACAAGAAAAAAGTTATATGTTCAGTACAGATGTTTTCATCCTGAGGCTGGTTGAGTCCTTGGATTTGGAACCCTTGTATGTGGAGGGCCAACATAAGGTCAAGTTCATGAGGAGCCAGGAGTCAAGATGATCCTTAATAAAAGCTTAAGTATTCTAAGGAGAGTAGGATAAATATGTCACCACTGAGTGGTGTTACGTGGTTCTATTCATAGTATCTATGTATTGTGCCGTTGGAGACTGGTAAATTGTAAATGCCTTGAAGGGGTGTTTCTGGGAGCTAGTGTGGTGCAGCAGTTAAGCCACCACTTGCAACACCGGCATTCTACACCAGAGCACCACTCTGAGTCCCGGTTGCTCCACTAACGCACCTGGGAAGGCAGAGGCAGATGGCCCAAGTGCTTGGGTCCCTGCCTCCCACGCAGGAGGCCAGCATGGAGATGCTGGCTCCTGGCTTCAGCCTGGCCCCATCCTGGCTGTTGCGGCTACTTGGGTAGTGAACCAATGGATGGAAGATCTTTCAGTCAGTCCCCTCTCTCTGTCACTCTGCCTTTCATATAAATAAATTAATTAAATAAATCTTTAAAAAATTAAATGAGTATTTATGACCCAAGCAGGCAGATCGGAGGTGCAGAGCACTAGCCTTCCTCCTGCAGTGCCATTCTTGTTTGAAAATCAAATGTGCAGTTTGTTTTCCGCCATAACCCGGAATACCAAACATAACAAATGACTGCAGATGGGAACCCAGATACCACGGCCTGAGAAGACGGCTCCCTCCCAAGTCCCAGCACTTGGGTAGGAGACAGCAGACCAGTGTTTTTCCAAGCACTGAGAAAAGAACGGTCCACTTGGAGCTGTCTGCCCGCCAAAACATTTTGGAGTTGAACAGAGAAAAAGGGGATTTTCAGAAATACAGTGGCTTAAGGGTGTTTACATACGGAGCCTTCCTACAGGGTGCACTTTAGGAGAAAGGAAAGTTAAAAATAAAGTGCAGATGGAGAAGGCCGGCACATGGGAGTCAGGAGTCCAGGAATTGGTTTTACTTTGTTTTTTGAATAGCTCGCTGAATTTATTCCTTTTATTCTTTTAAAGGTGATTTAAAGAGTTCATCTAGGGAAGGCAAAACTACAGGTTTTCCTAAGATAATATAGAATATTGAGGCCGGCGCCGTGGCTCAACAGGCTAATCCTCCACCTAGCGGCGCCGGCACACCGGGTTCTAGTCCCGGTCGGGGTGCCGGATTCTGTCCCGGTTGCCCCTCTTCCAGGCCAGCTCTCTGCTGTGGCTCGGGAGGGCAGTGGAGGATGGCCCAAGTGCTTGGGCCCTGCACCCCATGGGAGACCAGGAGAAGCACCTGGCTCCTGCCTTCGGATCAGTGCGGTGCGCCGGCTGCAGCGTACTGGCCGCGGCGGGCATTGGAGGGTGAACCAACAGCAAAGGAAGACCTTTCTCTCTGTCTCTCTCTCTCACTATCCACTCTGCCTGTCAAAAAAAAAAATTTTTTTTTAAAAGAATATTGACCCCAAAATAGGAAAACAGTAGTTAATCAAGACACTAGGAACACTAAATATAAAGAAAAATTTTGATGCAATAGGAGCAGGCATTTGGCACAGCAGTTAAGATGCCACGTGGGATGCCTGCGTTCCTTACTGGAGTGCCTGGGTTCAAGTCCCAGCTCTGCTTCCATTTCCAGCTTCCTGTTGTGGGAAGCAGACAGTAATGACCCAATACTTTGGTCCCTGCCTCCCACATAGGAAACACCGGCTGAGCACCAGGCTCCGGGCTTGGGATTGACCCAGTTCTGACTGTTGGAACCTTGGAAAGTGAACCAGCAAATGGGATGTCTCTCTCTCTCTCTCTCTCCCCCTCTCTCTCTCCCCCCCCCATCTCTCTCTTTCTCTCTTTCTCTCTCCTTTTCAAGTAAATGTTTACATTTTTTTAAAAAAGATTACTACATTGGGGCCGGTGCCATGGCGCAGTAGGTTAATCCTCCGCCTGTGGTGCCGGCATCCCATATGGGCACCGGTTCTAGTCCCGGCTGCTCCTCTTCCAGTCCAGCTCTCTGCTGGGGCCTGGGAAGGCAGTGGAGGATGGCCCAAGTGCTTGGGCCCTGCACCCATGTGGGAGATCGGGAAGAAGCACCTGGCTCCTGGCTTTGGATCGGCGCAGCTCCAGCCGTTGCAGCCATTTAGGGAGTGAACCAACAGAACGAAGACCTTTCTCTCTGTCTTTCCCTCTCACTGTCTGTAACTCTACCTCTCAAATAAGTAAAATCTTTTTTTTTAAAAAAAGTGATAGATTGCTACATTAAAATTAAGAACCTGTGTTTATTAAAAGACACTTCAGGGTCTGGCGCTGTGGCATAGCAGGTAAAGCCACTGCCTGTAGTGCCAGCATCCCATATGGACACCGGTTTGAGTTCTGGCTGCTCCACTTCCAGTATAGCTCTCTGCTATGGCCTAGGAAAGCAGTAGAAGATGGCCCAAGTCTTTGGGCCCCTGCACCGGCATGGGAGACCTGAAGGAAGCTCCTGGCTCCTGGCTCCTGGCTTCAGATCAGCCCAGTTCTGGCCATTGTGGCCTTTTGGGGAGTGAACCAGCAGATGGAAAACCTCTCTCTCTCTCTCTGCCTCTGCCTCTGTCTCTCTGTAACTCTGCCTTTCAAATAAATACATAAATCTTTTAAAGTGTCTTTTTCTTTTTTTTTCTTTTTAAACAAGACAAGCTCTGGAATGAGATAAGCATCTGTAGCAAATGCCTGGTAAAGATTCGTATCTGGAATATATAAAGAAATCCAAACCAATAAGAAAAAGCCAGACAACCAAGGAGGCGGCACAGAGACTACACATGAAAAAGCACTTCAGAAGCAGAGAGTGCCCAGAGGGCAGACTAATGAGAAGGCTCCCATCTCCCACGAAAGCCTTAGAGCTGGCACAAGCCCTTCAGCCTGGCCACAACCCCAAGCTCCAACCATTTTCCGTTCTCAGCCCTCGCACCTTTCCCTAGCACCTGGCCTCCCCGGCCATGGTATTCCGCACACACATGCACACACACGCCAGTCAACAGAAACCACTGGATACTCTGAGGGTGCTTCCTAGCACTGTTCTCAACATGACAGCCATGCAGAGCCACTGGACATGGACCCTGAAGCCGGGCAGGGGCTAGAAAGAGCCTCTGCCGCCACAGGGCTGGGGCACACAAAGGAAGTGGAGCTACCTTGGCCCAGGAATCAGGGTCACCTGGTGGAAGCTGGAACCTATTGCTCTGTCCTAAGGGAGGCCAGCAGAGGGAGGAGGAGGAAAGACGCCCAGCCCTTCTGTTCTGGGTTCTAATGTCCCCTTGGCAGAGCCTCACTGAAGGCCAAAAATGGCACAGGTTCCTCCCTGAGGGTCAGAGGAGAGGGGGCAGCATCAGGAGGGGTGCGGGACCACAGAACAAGCCCTGCCCTCTGGAACTCTTCCCTGCGGTTGTTCCAGGGTTCAGGGTCCTGTTTGTGTCCCTGTTTGCCTGAATGGCACCCCCCAGCCATGGATTCATGTGGAAGCCCTGACCCCCAGCTGTGCCTATGCATGTGGTCCTTAAAGAGTGACTAAGGAGGCTAGCGCCGCAGCTCACTAGGCTAATCATCCGCCTTGCGGCGCTGACACACCGGGTTCTAGTCCCGGTCAGGGCGCCGGATTCTGTCCCGGTTGCCCCTCTTCCAGGCCAGCTCTCTGCTGTGGCCAGGGAGGGCAGTGGAGGATGCCCAAGTGCTTGGGCCCTGCACCCCCTGGTCTCCCATGGGGGGGGAAGCACCTGGCTCCTGGCTTCGGATCAGCGTGGTGCGCTGGCCACGGCGGCCATGGGAGGGTGAACCAATGGCAAAAGGAAGACCTTTCTCTGTCTCTCTCACTGTCCACTCTGCCTGTCAAAAAAAAAAAAGTGACTAAGGGGGCCAGTGCTGTGACGCAGGGGGTTAATGCCCTGGCCTGAAGCACCGGCATCCTATATGGGCACCAGTTCAAGACCCGGCTGCTCCTCTTCCGATCCAGCTCTCTGCTATGGCCTGGCCTCTCTCTCTCTCTCTCTCTCTCTGTCTCTCTGTCTCTCCTTCTCTCTCTGTGTAACCCTGACTTTCAAATAAATAAATAAATAAATCTTTTAAAAAAAATTGCAGGTGGCTCTAACAAAAGAGCAGTGGGGGCCGGCACCGCGGCTCACTAGGCTAATCCTCCGCCTTGCGGCGCCGGCACAGCGGGTTCTAGTCCCGGTCGGGGTGCCGGATTCTGTCCCGGTTGCCCCTCTTCCAGGCCAGCTCTCTGCTGTGGCCAGGGAGTGCAGTGGAGGATGGCCCAAGTCCTTGGGCCCTGCATCCCATGGGAGACCAGGAAAAGCACCTGGCTCCTGGCTTCAGATCAGCGCAGTGCGCTGGCCACAGCGGCCATTGGAGGGTGAACCAACGGCAAAGGAAGAGCTTTCTCTCTGTCTCTCTCTCACTGTCCACTCTGCCTGTGAAAAGCACTAAAAGATTTTAAAAAAACGAGGGAGAGAGAGAGAACAGTGGGAAGAAGCGGGTCAGTGCCCGCGGGGCTGGTGTGCCACCCTGCATATAAAACGGTTAGGATTATTTAGAGCAAAGACTGGATTTCTGAAGAAGCCAAGCAATGACAGGCAGGCGACCTGGAGCTCTTGCCTTGTTCAGCCCGCTTTCTGCAAGATTCCAGCCCCAAAAAGGAGGGCATGCAGCCCAGATCCAGCATCGGGAAGAAGAAAAAGGCAAATCCACAAGCCCGGGCCCAACAAACCAGCCATGTCTATAAATAACTCCCCCTGGAGAAATAAACAGCCAGATCAAAGGCAAGAAACCCGAGCCAGGGAGCCAGGCCAGTTCCTAGGATCCCCCGTGCCCCCCGCCGTGGGAGCCACCAACCGGGCCGGCCCCCAGCGACCCCAAAACGGTCCACGCCTCGCCTACCTGCTGGCCTGGCTCACCGTGCGCCCCTGGCCCCGCTCCTGCATGGCCCAGGGGGCCGGCGGCCGCTGCGGAGACGCCCCCAGGGAGGCGTAGGCGTCGTCGCTGCAAACAGTGAGCAGGTGGCAGCCGGCCGAGGTGTGCGAGCTCAGAGCCCCAGCACCCCGGCGGGCCAGCCCTAGACGCAGCCCCGAATGCTGGCCACGCCCCAGCCCGCTCCGGGCGGAACTCAGGTCACACTGCCCAGCGCCCTGCCCGCTGCCCTCCTCGGGCCGGCTGCCCAGAGGCCGGCACAGGAGCCCTCCGTGTCCACTCCCTGGCCTGAGAACGCCACGGGGCGTCTGGCCTGACCCCTCGGCCGTGTGGGATGGGGGTGGGGGGCTGGCCGCAGTCCCAGCACCCGCTCACCCGGTAGGGCATCCCCTGCACACGTGTCTGCCTTCCCTCTGACACTGGAAAGCTCCAGGGACAGGACCTGGCTCTGTGCATTCCTGGCCCAGAGTGGCCGGCAGGCGGCTTCTGACAGCAAAGGAAAGAAACCGAACTCCCACTGCCCTGGCTGGGAGCTGAAGCTGCTGAGCGGGTTCCTGTTCCCCCAGGGCAGTCCTCCCTGGCTAGAGCCAGTATCCAAAATCCAGATCTATTACTTCTTATTCTTCCCATGCCATGGGCAAAACCAGACTTCTGTGTCTACCCTAAGGATGGAATCTGCTATTAATATTATTGTCATGCCCCATCCAGAGGCACGGAGGGTGAGGGGCTCCCATCTGCACACGAGGCCCAGCCAGGAGCTGAGAACTCAGTCCAGATCTCCTGTGTGGGTAGCAGAGGCCCAAGGACTCCAGCCATCACCATGGCTTCCCAGGGTCTACACTGGCAGGAAGTGGAGTAGGAGCCAAGGCCAGGACTTGAACCCAGGCACTGCCATGAGGGACACAAGTATCCTACCTCTAGGCCAAACACCCGCCCCGGAGAGACCTGAATTCTGGCCCCTGACCCCAAAACCTCCCTTTTCCTTACAACTTCCAGCCAGGACCTGCGGCCTCCCCTGCTCTGTTTTGTGGGACCAAAAGTTCTTTGTTCTGTGCTGAGACACAGACTGACACGTGGTGGTGACTGGAATGTGCTATGGGTGTAGGAAGGGAGCCTGTCTGACCTCCAGAGAAACGCCTCTCAGTGGTCTGCACAATACCCTCCCTTCAGGCCAGCAGGTAAAGCCGCCACCTGCAGGGCCGGCAAACCATGTGGTCACCAGTTCAAGTCCCAGCCACTCCATTTCTTTTTT